AAATAGTCAATAGTTAATTTGTATCTACTTACCTTCTAAATGATGCATATATAGATCATCTTGACTCATTTAACACCGCCAATAATACAACTAAATAAAAAGATAACTGTCCAGATTTATTTCTAAATATATAAATAAATTTGTTTTAAGTATTGAATACTCTTTTTTTTCTTTTTTTTCACTGAATAATAATATATAAAACAAGGTAACATTACATCGAAAGCAAACCCGAAAGTTTATCGGGGAGCGTAGTCCGAAAGAGTACCGGAGAGCAAAGCCCGAAAGTTTAAATGGGAGCGAGGGTGAAATATGTTACAACAACATCAAAGAGAAACCATAAAAACCAAATGACCAAAATGAAACTAGACAAGAAAGGTAGAACCAAATCTATTAAACCAAACCCATAAATTCCACCTNAAAGAANCCAATTGCTAACCTTCCACATAATCACCGAATCCAGGAACCCTTGCTTCAAAAGGATCATTTACGGCAAGGATAAAGGAGACNAGGGAATTGCAAACAAACACGAGACGATACACCAAAGTCCGAGACCNAAGCTAAGCCAAAGAAGTGTGACAAGAACCAAGACACACCATGAAGAGGAGATCATCAATAACCCGAGTAGCACCCAATCCAACCTATGCTTCTTCTATTGATACACAACCCAATGCACTAAGGCAGTTGTTGATACGCATCGCCGATAGAAGAACCAATTGNAAAAACGGATAGAGAGGAGACCAAATAGTTAGGCGAGATAAGAGGGCCNCAAAACCATCTTCTTCATTAGGAAAGAGTCACACTTCACATCAGCCCCAAGACAACTCCTATCAAAAGACCAAGATACACAGAGGGCAAGCACACTCAACCATCTAGAGAGGTGAACGAGTTAGTACCAACAGATCTAGGATATGCAAAAGTCTAGAGCCATCGAAATGACAAAACAGAAACCACAGGGAAGGGAACCACACAAACCCGATCCCCAAACACAAACTCTTAAGCTATGATAGATTACAAAAACTCAACAATCAGACCCAACAAAAGGCTAATGAAACCACATAAATAACTAGATCCTAGAAAATCTAGATCTATTCAACGAGAAAACCAAACTATAAGCCCCGCACAATCAACATCAAAGAACCAGATCCAACGACTACCATAGGCCAAACAAAAATCTAACCCAAAGCCATAACTAGNACCAAAACNTGCGTNACGGAACTAGGCCTAAGACTCGAATATGACGAACTAGCACCGGAGGCGTTTGCGACACCGCCCGTTGACCTCAAGGGAATAGCATCACCGGAAGACGAGGACTGCTCCTCCGACGGCGACCAGAAAAGCGTAAACTCTTCATCTGAACTCGCATAGAAAGATCTTGACATTCAGGGATAACCGATTAAAACATGAAGGAAAGAGGACTGACCGGCGTCGACACTGAAAAGGCCACCGCACGCTGGTCAATACTTTTTTTTCTAACACATAAATAAATTATGGTAGAAACAAAATGCATATAGGGAAATATAAATCAAAGTAAATAAAATGATTCTATAAGGAAATATAAATCAAAGTAAATAAAATGATTCTATAATGTAAGTTTTTAGAGAAAAATTATGTAATAATTTTTTTTTTATGTTCACCACTCTTTAATTAGGCTAATTATATTTTAGTAGTATGCAATCAAATGACCTCAAAGAAAAAAATTAGTGAACTTTGTAGAATCTTAAACCTAATTATAAAAGTAGCTTTACCGACTTCATATTTCTTCCAAAACCCAAGTGAAAAAAAAAAACTCCACGAAAAAATAAAAGGCTTTTAAATACGACATTGAAAAGGCCCACACTATCCTCAAGTCTTGGTGTCAAGTACACTATCTTCAAGTCTTGTGAAGCCTCAAGTAAAACCTCCTCGTCCTATAAACCACACTTAGACTCAACACCATCGCCATTAGACACACCACAGACATGAGACCGCAAGTGACTGAATAGCATACTGAGCCCGTGCAGACGAGCGACTCAGTCTCTGTGGTGGTTCCTGTTTGCTTCCTGGCATAGTAGTCATAGATGTTACTAGCGATCACACCCGAGAACACAAACGATCCAACAGGCAAAGCTATAATCTGGAAATTGTAGAGAGAGCCGAAGCTTCTTAGGCCAAAAATGTCAGAAACTGAAGCAGGAGCGATCGCCCAGTGAGCGCCATAACCCATTCCTATCACAATGGTCACAACATAGATCTTCCCGGGCCAGTCTATAGCATAGTAGACCAGGCCTAGAGACATCATTACCTGAACCGCAGACATTGCCAATGTTCTTGGAAGCGAGAGTTTTCTTGTGAAGACAAATTAAGTGATAAAAATGTCAGTTAAATTCTAGACATTTATGTTTGATGAGAAAATGAAGGGGTTGAGGATTTTATACCTTATGATTAGCTCTGAAAAGTAGCCACCAGCAACACGGCCGAGAAAATTGGAGATACTGATCAGTGAGACAAATACTTTGGTGTTTTTGTACCCGAGGGAATAACAAATCTGACCAAGATTGTCTATAACTGTTATTCCTGAACCTACACCTAGAACTAGAGACATAAATATAAGCCAGAAGTCGGCTTGTCCCAAAGCTTGTAACAAGGTGAAATCTTCTCCTATACATGGCACTCTTCTCTTTTCCGGCAGCATGTCACTCCTCTCTATCAAAGTTTTAACTTCATTCTGATCATCCACATTAGAGGTTCCTTCTTTGGGCTTCATTAAGGTGGTGGCATTACCCGAGATGAAAGCCGATGCAAAAGGGACAAGAACTGGAACAACCATAAGAATGACAAGGATTGCTCCAGAGGTTGTGATAATTGTTTGAGTTATATCAACAAGACTCTGAAGTACCAATATTCCTAATAAATATACTGCAAGGACAACACAGAAACCATAAATAGCCAAGAAGCGTAAATCATCAGAGCGCAGGTTCGTTCTGCAACTTCTTTCCACAGGTCTAACAAGGAAAAGTAGAGCAAGAACCACAACTGGTGGTCCAACAGCAACCATGAGAATAACGGAAGAATCATGAGAGGGACTTAACATCAGATAAACCTGTGTCAAGATTGCTCCGCTCAAGCCAGAAAATCCTTTCAGGATTCCAACAACAGGGCCACGGCTTTCTGGGAAATTATGTATGCATGACACAAGAGAGGCTGTATTGTAGTAGGTTTCACCATTTGTTCCCACGAAAATAGCTACAAACAACTGCATGAACGCAACTGTTACTTTTGGTAAAATGATAAACCAGAACCTGGAAAAAACAAATCAAGTGCTTGCTAAAGCAAGTAAGTAAGACCCAAAAGTACTTCTTGAATCAAGTTTATTTATGCAAAAACATAAACAAGAAATTTGACACGATGGAAACCAAGTCATAAAACTTTCCTCAACTTAAGAACCGTCAAATGGCAAAATAACTCAGGATAATAGAAGTCTAATTTAAAGCCCTCACTTACTGATATTACCGTTACAAGTCATTTGTAAGATAGTTATTTGATCCCAAAGATACTTCTCTCAGTCCAAACTTCAGTGACTAATTAGGGGAACACTTAAAAATCAACATTCCATTTCCACCTCATATTTGTCACATACTTCTTATGTTCTTATTTATCTCTCTAATGTTCACTAAATTGACATAGTGACGGTTGTGATACACTTAGCCATCAATTAGTGCACAAAGTTGTATTCAATGTCAAAGTTATATAACAAATCACGTCTAAAACTTTACTGGATTGCAAAGCAGCAACTTGACAGCCAGATTTGTACAAATGCAAACTATATTATTTCATTTCGTATAAAACGCATTGACATATATTCTTAGAAACTCTTATCAAGTGAAGCTTCGCATCTGCGTACGCTCATGTCTTTCCTTAGTATTCAGAAATTGACATATAACGTACTCAGCTGGGAAATCAACGTAAAATACATGTAGTAAATTTTAACCTGGTGAAGAAATCATGCAAAATACTACAGATACAAGCGATAGTATACACTTATCATTCATAGCTGGAAGGCTAAAGCATAACACACTTATTTCATCTTCTACTTGAGGCATAACTGTTTTACTGTACAATCCTAATCTCCTCTAATGGACATTCAAGGAATTAAAATATGACATTTGAGCTATTCTCAGATACAGGAAGTATGTATACACATGCTTTAGAATTCTAATTGGTCTATCAAATCACGTAAGGTACATACTAAATTGGTCCTAATATTCCAAGCCTTCATCTTCTATTAAACTTTTACCATTATTAGGGAAAGCTTCAGAATCGCACTCTTATAAATGATTCTCATATTTATTTGCAGTAAACTCTGTTTGCCTGTGTTATTAAATCTCCCCTAATTGAAGCTCACGAAGCTAACATTAAAAAAATTGTGATATACTCAGTTTAGTAAAGTAAAGCATGATAGAAATATTAGCTTTCCCATGTAATTTACTAAATCTCTTCTTGAACTCACAAAAACTAAACCTAAAATACAAGGAACATATCACTCAAACTGCAACCAGTTACATTCTTATTTTGTAGAACTGTCCAACTAAGTAGTTGAGAATATCAACATACAACATATTGTACTACACCCAAATAGCAAATTAACACATGCATAAGAACAGCTCAAAAAGAGTTAAGCTAAATAGTTATCCTGAAGAACTGGAGTTGTCACATGCATAACATATTTAGGCCATATTGTACTTGTCACATTGAACTGGATACGTGATTCAATCTTCGCTAA